TTTGTAACAGGGTGGTACTAGAAATTTGTGTTTACGGAGCATGTGCACACTTGCACTCACATCTGTTATGTATCTTAAAAAATTTGGTTGTAAGTAAATCTGCATTTTTTAAATTTTGTTTGATGCAAAAAAAACATAATATGCGGGATAAAGGTAATAGCTGAATGCGATCTCTTTCTATCGCTTTCTCTCTCTGTCTATTTCTCTCCAGGGGCGTACTGTGGTCCTGCCATTGCCATGTTGTTGACAGGGTTTGTTAACTGCCATCTGGGCTGGGAGTGGATCTTCTACATATACAGTAAGTAAACTTCCAAACCATCTCAACAAAAATCCTGAACTGGTTAGTTTTGGTACCCTTGGGGTAGTAAAAGGCGAGCTGGTTGTAACACTTCTTCCTACAGTGGAGACCCTTCGCATCTCGTAAATTACCTGACGGTGAATGGTAGTCTAGATGATAATATGCGTTGTGTTTGCTGTGCACAGATGCCTCAGCTGTCGCGTTTGTTAGATTATGCCAACAAAGTTTAGCATGAAAAGGAATATTACAACGGTATAAAGCTAATGTACCAAAGTTTTGCCAAGGGTTGAATGTGATATACATATACGTAGTTCGCCACAAATTAAAAAAGTCTGATCTGTTCAATGTATGCTATTGTTTTGGTGTAAAATATTACATTTTTATTGGCTGGTGGCATGAGGAGCAAAAAAAAAAAATCTTGGGCGAAGCTCTCCCTAGCAGGACATCTTATAGCGCTTTTAATCATTTTCATTGGCAGTTTTCAAAGCAAAGATTATGACGTCAGATAGTTGGTAATGTTAGACTGAAGTCCACTGACACCATTTTGATGAAATCATTGTACAACTGATATATGTAAATATATGCATATCCCAGGTATTGCTATTGCTTTTGAACGGTTGTTAAGGAATAAATTTCAAGATAAAGCCTGTGGAATCAGATATAATCCGATATAAATGTTCTTTTCCTGGTTGGTCATCAAATGCATATTTAAGTTTATATCCTGGTTGGTAACCCGTTTGTCAAATGCTTATTGTAGGCATAGCTGGCGGAATTTGGGGCATACTGTGGGTGCTGATTGTTTTCAAGTCTCCGTATAAAGCCCTGCATAGACTGGGACAGAAAGAGAGAGAGCTCTTTGAGGAAGAAAGGAGGAAAAAACACGCTGATTTATTTACGTCTGTACAATCGGCAGCTCCACAAGAGGCGGTAAGCGCCGGATGTTACGTCCTTGTTTATTCCAGTGGAATAAACACTGGCCTCAATATTTAACTGTTAGATTTAATGTCAACATGTTTCGTCCTTTATTGAAATTAATAATGAAGTATTTGGTAAATTTGGGTATGTTTTCAACTTCATATAGAAACCTCCAATTTGCGCATGCATTAAAATGTTGCTTCGTTTATCAATTTACAGGTCAGGGCTATACCGTTCAAGGCGATTCTGACGTCATTTCCTGTGTGGGCGGTGTTTGTAGCGGGCACTACGAGAAGCTGGGTGCTTCTTCTGGTCACCAATTATTTCTCTCAATATTTAGAGAATGTGTATAATCCTAATATAATTGAGGTACGTAATTTTTTTTTTTTTTGTTCAAGTCCGTCGAGAAAATAATTCAAAGCATTTTGTACAAAATAAATTTGAATTTAACTTATGTCAGAAAAGGGTATGTTTCCAATCAACATAGACCGACCTAACTCAGCACGTGTCATCTCAGCCTTAATGTGGTTATCTCACCATAGGTGACACATCGAATCCACGTGTACTCCCACCCACTGTAATTATATCAATGGAAACCTACCGTTAGTAACGACCAGTGACGGGTTTCACACATCAAGGATAATGATAAGATGCTTCGATCATTTGCGAGTTCTTGATGTGCATTTTGTGGACTATTTTTTCAGGTAGGGTATCTGTCCTCCTTGCCGTTCTTTGTTACCACGGCAACCGTGTGTCTGGGGGCCATGATTGCTGACACCTGTCTGAAAAGAAGAGTGGTCTCTAGGACCGTTGCCAGAAAGCTGTTCAACTGCGTCGGTGAGGGGTCATCGATTTGAATCATCAGTATCTTAAGTCTACAAACCGCACGCTGATTGGGGGGGGGGGGAAGGGGGGGGAGCGGGGGATAAAAATTATGTACCTAATTGCTGTCATAGCTATGTCATCATTTTTAGCTTTTGCCTTGTGTTCCCTGAAGGCGGGGATGGGCTGCGGAAATAGTCTACTCTTTGTCGAGTTGTGACAATGATGATAAAAATGGTTGGCCCCAAAGTATTTTAAGAAATATGAGATTATATACAATGATGAGCTATGGATTGATATTTTTCATAACTTTTGTTGTTATTATTATTATTATTATTATTATTATTATTATTTCACTTCTAGGGTTTGGAGTGGAGGCCAGTATACTGTGTCTGGTCGGGTTTATGACGTGGTATTTTCCCAGTAAAGTTGCTGCCGTCACACTAATTGGGATATCATGTGGAGCCAGCGGATTCGCTGCTTCAGGTAAGATACACGAATAGCTATGAACAGTTTTCAAATTAAAATTCAGAAGAGTCGAGCTTCTGATATATTTGTTAAGACATAGTTTGTTAGAATATGAAATGAGATATACATGCATTGCGTGCTTAGTTTGATTATCATGTTAGAGGCGATATATTTTATATAACAATATAACAATTCTATGATGAATTATCAACAAACGACTCACTGCTATTCCTAGATTTAAATATAGAAATATAAAATATTTTACAAGACGATTGATATAAGATATTACACCAAAAAATAATAACGATAGTAATCAATTTTGGTGAGACGGTGGAAAAAACAAAATTTTTGAATGGAAAACTCGTTTTTAAAAATATTTTCAAAATGAATGCATAGCGTGGGTTTGATATTGACATTAAACACTGCAGGTTACCAGGCGAATCCTCTTGACTTGGCACGTGATTATGCCAGTATTTTAATGGGCATATCAAAACTGGGCGGCATAGGGGGCATGATTATGCCTAAAGTTGTCGGAGCCTTGACAAGCAAAGGGGTGAGTGTAAAACAAAGAATGTGACGTCACTTCCAAGCTGAAACAAGAAAGGCCATGGTGTCCTTTGTTATATATAGATTTCTATAAAATGATACCCTCTACCCTGAATGTTGGACCGAAGATAAAGTCATCATCATTTTTATCATCTTATCTATTTGTTTGTTTGTTTTAAAATATAATAAAATAATAAACTGTGACGTGTCAATTCTGATATTCTTCCAGGATGCATTTGGCTGGGCCTGTGTGTTCTGGGTCACAGCAGGACTGGAGATGGCAGGCGTAGTCTTCTACGCCATCTTTGCCAGCGGTAAGCAGCAGTCTTGGTCGAACTATCGCGACGCCAGGGAGCTGGAGGATGATAGCGCCAGGTTAAGCGCGAGGTACCAACACAGCGTGGGCGGTGGTCGCGCATACGGGGCTCCAAATTTAGGTGTTAGCAGGAGAACTATTGACGAAAGTTATGTTGATGACGAGGAGAGGCCGTTACTGTGGTATGCCTCGAACAGGGAGGAACATGAATTTACCGACTCCATGACGCTTTACTGAAAAGTAAAGACACAGGAAATAAGTAAACTCCCTTCCATGGTCACAGATTGATTTTTCACTCGATATTTACAGATACGTCTTTGATTAATTATGTGCATATTTTTGTGGAGAATTGGTAGAGAGTACAAATACATATTAGGTAATATGACATGCACTCGATAGCCGGCGGCTAGACCGACCTGAGCTTGATGGGAATTGTTAAATCAAATATAACAGATAGCATTCGTATTGTGAGATTCTGACCTTTTGCTTTGATATTTTTATATTTTATTTTTGCCTTGATATTTTGTTCTGACAGCGGCTTTAATTGATTTTACAATAAGATCATTAGGGGAAATTTGGGAAAATATCCTTGTTGGACGCATAATGCATAAGTTATTGCTGGAAAATGCACAATGTACAATATGACAATATTCTCTAACCCAGGATTCCAACACTTAAAGCAAAGCAAATGTAATTTTTCACTATGTGTTCAATACAAAACTTTTTGTACCATGAAGTGATTATTTCAGACACTAAGACTCATGAATGATAGGAATATTTATTCCCTCAGGCTCTCATGACACTGGATGTATAGTATGTTACCCCACGTGGTAAGCCTTAATCATTATAGCATTCTATATTAGAATGCAATCCAATGGAATGAAATATTCCAAGAGACGAATAATCTGTCAAACTCTCCGAAGACCGTCTACAGAGACAGAGGCAGGACAGCGACAACGTTATATACATGCGCTGTAAAATTAAAGAATATAATCGCCTTGAAGATGTGAAGGTGAAACGACAGAAATGCTGAAAAAATTGGGCTTGGCAGTCTTCAGGTTTTCATGTGCTGTAAAATGTGCAATTATTAAAGAATGTAATCACCTTGACAACTGACAAGTCAGTCTTCTTTTGTGTGTGATTATTTTGATTTAACATGATTAAATATAATAATTGTTTTAAAGGAATTTGAACATATTGCATACGGAATGCATTGTTCAAATGGCGATGACGCCATAATCAAAATTGGAATTGCCTTACCCAAGTTAAATAATCTCAAGAATTGCAAGGTCTTATGGGAAAGGCTTTTTTGATTGATATGTTTGACTTGGTTTTGTCTCAACATTTTTAAGTATCATACAATTCAAAGGGCAGAGAAATGCATTGGTGGGCGGTAACTACATGTATATCCAAACTGGTCCTCTCTGTGGCAAAGTAGAAAAAGCTTTCATTTGAAGTGTAGCCTGCCAACTGAGCTTCTACGGCTCAGCCGTAACACCGCTGTCTTGGACACAGGCGTCGTCATCAATATTTCATCGTCAATAATATTTCCTTTCTTTTCACAAAAAAGGTCCTTCAAAAGATGGCGATGTGGGGATGGTCTTTTCTAACACAATGCTAACGCAGCTTCTCTGTCGCACTGAGAAGATTATTTCCTCCACAAATTGTAATCCAAGTAGGTGATCATAAAAAGAAATATTTTCAAGCGAGAAGAACACCTTTAACATTGCTATGAAATAAAAATATTTTGCATTTCATTTTTAATACACGTCGAAAATGTACTTCAAAGTGTTTCAGAACTTCCTTTCGTGGACGCAAGTCCAAACTAGGTTTCTCACGAACCTAAATAGGGGAGACCGGGGATAGTTGGACCCCGGGGTAAGTTGCCCCCCCCCCCTCCCCTCCCCCTATCAAGTCTCTTTAATAAATGTACTTTAAGATGCTAAATTATTTCATGTGGACTCACTGAAGACGCTTTCTTAGCACTATTGGATACGGTCACTTTACAAAATCAATTCTTTTACCCCATAGTTACTTTGTCATAAATTGATGGGGGGCCAATTTACCCCGAGGTCCAACTAGCCCCGGTCTCCCCTATGTAGACAAACAGACCAGTAATCACACGCTTAAAAGAAACGATCGAAAGGAACGAATATCATCAAAATAACTTTTCATCAAAGTTATAGAAATGATCAAGTTAGTCAAAAAGTATGTGCGCGACGGCTAAAGGCTGAATAGGAACTGGACACTTTCTGCCCACCCCCTTGACCAAACATGTAAAAAGGAGTCATAATTGGCACCAAAAGTCAATCTCACCTTGCCAGTAATTTTACTTACATTAGCGTGGAATTTAGGCACACTGATTGGCATTATCAAATGAACAAGTTTTTTGGTATTCAAAATCTTGGCAGTTATTTGATATAAGGCGCGTTTAAACGTACAAAGAAAATCGCTGGCCGTAATATCTCTGTCGCATTCAGATTGTTGTTGTAAGCAGACAGTCACGTGTTCATAAATTGACGTCACTTGNGTAACAGGGTGGTACTAGAAATTTGTGTTTACGGAGCATGTGCACACTTGCACTCACATCTGTTATGTATCTTTAAAATTTTGGTTGTAAGTAAATCTGCATTTTTTAAATTTTGTTTGATGCAAAAAAAACATAATATGCGGGATAAAGGTAATAGCTGAATGCGATCTCTTTCTATCGCTTTCTCTCTCTGTCTATTTCTCTCCAGGGGCGTACTGTGGTCCTGCCATTGCCATGTTGTTGACAGGGTTTGTTAACTGCCATCTGGGCTGGGAGTGGATCTTCTACATATACAGTAAGTAAACTTCCAAACCATCTCAACAAAAATCCTGAACTGGTTAGTTTTGGTACCCTTGGGGTAGTAAAAGGCGAGCTGGTTGTAACACTTCCTCCTACAGTGGGGACCCTTCGCATCTCGTAAATTACCTGACGGTGAATGGTAGTCTAGACGATAATATGCGTTGTGTTTGCTGTGCACAGATGCCTCAGCTGTCGCGTTTGTTAGATTATGCCAACAAAGTTTAGCATGAAAAGGAATATTACAACGGTATAAAGCTAATGTACCAAAGTTTTGCCAAGGGTTGAATGTGATATACATATACGTAGTTCGCCACAAATTAAAAAAGTCTGATCTGTTCAATGTATGCTATTGTTTTGGTGTAAAATATTACATTTTTGTTGGCTGGTGGCATGAGGAGCAAAAAAAAATATCTTGGGCGAAGCTCTCCTTAGCAGGATATCTTATAGGGCTTTTTATCATTTTCATTGGCAGTTTTAAAGCAAAGATTATAACGTCAGATAGTTGGTAATGTTAGACTGAAGTCCACTGACACCATTTTGATGAAATCATTGTACAACTGATATATACGTAAATATATGCATATCCCAGGTATTGCTATTGCTTTTGAACGGTTGTTAAGGAATAAATTTCAAGATAAAGCTTGTGGAATCAGATATAATCCGATATAAATGTTCTTTTCCTGGCTGGTCATCAAATGCATATTTAAGTTTATATCCTGGTTGGTAACCCGTTTGTCAAATGCTTATTGTAGGCATAGCTGGCGGAATTTGGGGCATACTGTGGGTGCTGATTGTTTTCAAGTCTCCGTATAAAGCCCTGCATAGACTGGGACAGAAAGAGAGAGAGCTCTTTGAGGAAGAAAGGAGGAAAAAACACGCTGATTTATTTACGTCTGTACAATCGGCAGCTCCACAAGAGGCGGTAAGCGCCGGATGTTACGTCCTTGTTTATTCCAGTGGAATAAACACTGGCCTCAATATTTAACTGTTAGATTTAATGTCAACATGTTTCGTCCTTTATTGAAATTAATAATGAAGTATTTGGTAAATTTGGGTATGTTTTTAACTTTATATAGAAACCTCCAATTTGCGCATGCATTAAAATGTTGCTTCGTTTATCAATTTACAGGTCAGGGCTATACCGTTCAAGGCGATTCTGACGTCATTTCCTGTGTGGGCGGTGTTTGTAGCGGGCACTACGAGAAGCTGGGTGCTTCTTCTGGTCACCAATTATTTCTCTCAATATTTAGAGAATGTGTATAATCCTAATATAATTGAGGTACGTAATTTTTTTTTGTTCAAGTCCGTCGAGAAAATAATTCAAAGCATTTTGTACAAAATAAATTTGAATTTAACTTATGTCAGAAAAGGGTATGTTTCCAATCAACATAGACCGACCTAACTCAGCACGTGTCATCTCAGCCTTAATGTGGTTATCTCACCATAGGTGACACATCGAATCCACGTGTACTCCCACCCACTGTAATTACATCAAGAGTGAAATTGGTTTCTCGGGATCTCTGGAAACCTACCGTTAATAACGACCAGTGACGGATTTCACAAATCAAGGATAAGGATGACATGCTTAAATTATTTGCGAGTTCTTGATGTGCATTTTGTGGACTATTTTTTCAGGTAGGGTATCTGTCCTCCTTGCCGTTCTTTGTTACCACGGCAACCGTGTGTCTTGGGGCCATGATTGCTGACACCTGTCTGAAAAGAAGAGTGGTCTCTAGGACCGTTGCCAGAAAGCTGTTCAACTGCGTCGGTGAGGGGTCATCGATTTGAATCATCAGTATCTTAAGTCTACAAACCGCACGCTGATTGGGGGGGGGGGAGGGGGGGGGGATAAAAATTATGTACCTAATTACTGTCATAGCTATGTCATCATTTTTAGCTTTTGCCTTGTGTTCCCTGAAGGCGGGGATGGGCTGCGGAAATAGTCTACTCTTTGTCGAGTTGTGACAATGATGATAAAAATGGTTGGCCCCAAAGTATTTTAAGAAATATGAGATTATATACAATGATGAGCTATGGATTGATATTTTTCATAACTTTTGTTGTTATTATAATTATTATAATTATTATTATTATTATTATTTCACTTCTAGGGTTTGGAGTGGAGGCCAGTATACTGTGTCTGGTCGGGTTTATGACGTGGTATTTTCCCAGTAAAGTTGCCGCCGTCACACTAATTGGGATATCATGTGGAGCCAGCGGATTCGCTGCTTCAGGTAAGATACACGAATAGCTATGAACAGTTTTCAAATTAAAATTCAGAAGATTCGAGCTTCTGATATATTTGTTAAGACATAGTTTGTTAGAATATGAAATGAGATATACATGCATTGCGTGCTTAGTTTGATTATCATGTTAGAGGCGATATATTTTATATAACAATATAACAATTCTATGATGAATTATCAACAAACGACTCACTGATATTCCTAGTTTTAAATATAGAAATATAAAATCTTTTACAAGACAATTGATATAAGATATTACACCAAAAAATAATAACGATAGTAATCAATTTTGGTGAGACGGTGGAAAAAACAAAATTTTTGAATGGAAAACTCGTTTTTAAAAATATTTTCAAAATGAATGCAAAGCGTGGGTTTGATATTGACATTAAACACTTCAGGTTACCAGGCGAATCCTCTTGACTTGGCACGTGATTATGCCAGTATTTTAATGGGCATATCAAAACTGGGCGGCATAGGGGGCATGATTATGCCTAAAGTGGTCGGGGCCTTGACAAGCAAAGGGGTGAGTCTAAAACAAAGAATGTGACGTCACTTCCAAGCTGAAGCAAGAAATGGCATGGTGTCCTTTGATATATATTGATTTCTATAAAAGGATACCCTCTACCCTGAATGTTGGACCGAAGATAAAGTCATCATCATTTTTATCATCTTATCTATTTATTTGTTTGTTTTAAAATATAATAAAATAATAAACTGTGACGTGTCAATTCTGATATTCTTCCAGGATGCATTTGGCTGGGCCTGTGTGTTCTGGGTCACAGCAGGACTGGAGATGGCAGGCGTAGTCTTCTACGCCATCTTTGCCAGCGGTAAGCAGCAGTCTTGGTCGAACTATCGCGACGCCAGGGAGCTGGAGGATGATAGCGCCAGGTTAAGCGCGAGTTACCAACACAGCGTGGGCGGTGGTCGCGCATACGGGGCTCCGAATTTAGGTATTAGCAGGAGAACTATTGACGAAAGTTATGTTGATGACGAGGAGAGGCCGTTACTGCGGTATGCCTCGAACAGGGAGGAACATGAATTTACCGACTCCATGACGCTTTACTGAAAAGTAAAGACATGAAATAAGTAAACTCCCTTCCAGGTTTGCAGATTGATATTTCGCTCGATATTTACAGATACGTCTTTGATGAATAATGTGCAAATTTTTGTGGATAATTGGTAGAGAGTAAATATACATATTAGGTAATATGACATGCACTCGATAGACCGACCTGAGCTTGATGGGAATTGTTAATTCAAATATAACAGATAGCATTCGTATTGTGAGATTCTGACCTTTTGCTTTGATATTTTTATATTTTATTTTTGCCTTGATATTTTGTTCTGACAGCGGCTTTAATTGATTTTACAATAAGATCATTAGGGGAAATTTGGGAAAATAGAGAGTTTTGGCAAGGCCTTCCGTACGACGTATAACATGCGACGTCATCACTTTGTGCGTAGTTTTTCTCAAGGACAAGTCATAAGTCATACGGCACTACGTATGAATCGGTGTTTACACGTAGGTAAGAAACGTATCGAATTTAATAGATTTACGCTTATTTCTTTCAAGTTTAACATACTGCAGAGGAATATATAGGGTGTTAAGATTCCACTGAATCACTTTTAGACGCTGTCGGTAAAAATATTCTGTGAAAACAGCTGGAAAAACAGCCAGTCAATCAGTCGTCCGTAGTAGTATCAAATTCGATTTAAGTTGATTTTTTTTTTTTTCATAAACAACAGGATCTGCGGCATCAATTGACGTAAATAACACATTCCATTCAACATCTTAATTATTCATCTATCTAAAAAAAATCCACAAGCAGCCCCATGTTCGTGTAATCCATATATATATAGGCCTATACCCTTATCATTTTATTTCTTTGAAATAGCGGCTCCTGGCGGAAAAAAAACGCATACGGAGTGAGACCTGCCAAAACCACTGCTAGCTTTCTCGCGTACGTAAAACGTATTACGTATTGAACTATACGTTACACGTCATACGGAAGGCCTTGCCAAAACTCTCTAATTATCCTTGTTGGACGCATAATGCATAAGTTATTGCTGGAAAATGCACAATGTACAATATGACAATATTTTCTAACCCAGGATTCCAACACTAAAAGCAAAGCAAATGTAATTTTTCACTATGTGTTCAATACAAAACTTTTTGTACCATGAAGTGATTATTTCAGACACTAAGACTCATGAATGATAGGAATATTTATTCCCTCAGGCTCTCATGACACTGGATGTATAGTATGTTACCCCACGTGGTATGCCTTAATCATTATAGCATTCTATATTAGAATGCAATCCAATGGAATGAAATATTCCAAGAGACGAATAATCTGTCAAGCACTCCGTAGACCGTCTACAGAGACAGAGGCAGGACAGCGACAACGTTATATACATAAGCTGTAAAATTAAAGAATATAATCGCCTTGAAAATGTGAAGGTGAAACGACAGAAATGCTGAAAAAAATTGGGCTTGGCAGTCTTCAGGTTTTCATGTGCTGTAAAATGTGCAATTATTAAAGAATATAATCACCTTGACAACTGACAAGTCATTTTTGTGATTATTTTGATTTAACATGATAAAATGTTATAGTTCTTTTAAAGGAATTTGAACATATTGCATACGAAATGCATTTTTCAAAGGGCGATGACGCCATAACCAGAATTGGTTAAATAGTCTCAAAAATTGCAGGGTCTTTGGGAAAGGCTTTTTTTGAGTGAAATGTTTAACACCGGTTTTTTATTTTATTTTTGCCTCAACATTTTAAGTAACATACAATTTATAGGGCAGAGACATACATTTGCTGAAGATAACTTCATGTATATGCAAACTGGTCCTCTTGGTGGCAAAGTAGAAAGTTTCCATTTGTTCTGTCAACTCAGCTTCTACGGCTCAGTGGTAACTCCGCTGTGTTGGACCTAGGCAGACACTGATACGCTGGGTCGAGTCCTAGACTGTAAACTTTTGCTAGTAATAATTTATAAAAACCGCTTTTGTTTACTATAAAAAGCACGTACGAACAGAGCGTGGATGGTTGAGTCACGGCGCAGTCGGTAGCGTGCCCATAGTTAGAAAAAAGCCATAGTTGTGGAAAGTCAAGAGATCAAACCCTGGATTTGGTAAATCACGAGTACGCATGCATGTTCTCGTAGATCCGGGCAAATTTCTTTTGCATAAAAAACGGTATTGTTTGGATTAGTGTTCGATTTAACAAGAACTTATTGCTGCTCATTAAAATAAAGTCTGCATCGTCAATAATATTTCATTTCTCTTCACTAGAATTAGTCCCTCATAAGATGACAACGCGGGGATGGTGTTTTCTAACACAATGCTCAGGCAGCTTCTCTGTCGCACTGAGAAGATTATGTCCTCCACAAATTGTTATCCAAGAAAGAAATATTTTTTACGCTAGAAGAACACCTTTAGCAATTCGTTGAAATAACTGATTTTGCATTTCAGTTTCAATACACGTCGAAAATGTACTTTAGCATTATATATATATAACATTTTAAGTGTTTCAGAACTTCCTTTCGTGGACACAAGTCTATTTTATCCAATAATACAAACTAGGATCTCACGCACCTAAATAGGGAAGACCGGGGCTAGTTGGACCCCGGGGTAAGTTGGCCTATGTAGACAAACAGACCAGTAATCACGCTCTAATTAACGCTCACCTTACTATTGGACAAAATGAAACACAAACATACAAATAAATGCACGACAAATTATTAACCAGATGATTGAAAGGAACGAATATCATCAAAATAACTTTTCATCAAAATTATAGAAATGATCCAAGTGAGTCATAAAGTACGTGTGCGATGGCGATGCTAAGATATTATAGGGTGTATATGGACTGGATATTTTTCGGCCCACCCCCTTGACCAAACATGTAAAAAGGAGTTATTATTGGCCCCAAAATTCAATCTCACCTTGCCAGTAATTTTACTTACATTAGCGTGGAATTTAGGCACACTGATTGGCATTATCAAATGAACAAGTTTTTTGGTATTCAAAATCTTGGCAGTTATTTGATATAAGGCGCGTTTAAACGTACAAAGAAAATCGCTGGCCGTAATATCTCTGTCGCATTCAGATTGTTGTTGTAAGCAGACAGTCACGTGTTCATAAATTGACGTCACTTGATGGTCAGTCCCGCAATAAGCCATCTCTCTGAAAGGACATCTGTTCCTTGAGGAGGATCTACGGAAGGACCTGCTACCGTTTGATGTCCTCGTTCGAATTTTTTGGCGTTAATGTTTTCACTCAAAAACCTTTTTTCTTTTTTTTTTTGCCTAGTGGGAACGCGCCACTTGAGCACTAACCTAGCCCCTTTCATGCAGTTACAGTGGTTTTACGGCATCTTAAATCACTGCCAATCACAAAAATACATGTATCATTTTCACAACTCGATGCTTTGACAAATGTTATAGAAACATCGTTGTTTGCTTGCGTTGCAAACTCACAACAATCATATGAGCTTGCTAAAACTTCCAAAACTATCAAAGCTTGCACAGCCTATCGACGTTCGATGTGGGGGGAGAAATGGGCCTTGATATTTTAGAGATAGATCCTGTGAGAAGTTTAGAGAGACTGTTCTCGTTTATTATATACGCTAATGAAAAATCTTATTCTTCCCGAAGACACGAAGTAGGAAATTTCAAATTAAAAAGACAATGCCCATTAAAAAATTGAAAGCTAAAATCTGTTAAAGATGATGGCGCTTAAAGCATAAAGCCATTTATCGTGCGTGAGGTATAAGATAATGGCTTGAGGTAGATGGAGATCAGAGTTGGTTCTACTAGTATCAGACTGTGCATGAAAAAAGCTTTGATAACTCTTCTTTTCAAAGAGACATCCAGGACAATAAGAAGACATCTTTCTATTTATCTCCCTCTTTGCCCCCCCCCCTCTCTCTCTCTCTCTCTCTCTCTCTCTCTCTCTCTCTCTGTCTCTCTCTCTCTGAGCCTCCATACAGTAAGGCAGCAGTGGCTTGCACGAGCCGCGTGTGTCAGTATCGTGTAGATGGGCGTCTGCCGTGAGCAACGCGTCGTTTATTTACAGAAAATTTCAAAGAATAAACATACACACTGGGGCCGTTATTTGATCATACAAAGATAGAACCTTCAAGTACTCTAGCTCACTTTCTTTTAAGGACAAAAAATCGAAATTCGAAAGTTTTTTTAATAAAAACCATTTGATGCATTCATTTAGATTTTAATGGCTAATATGAAGTGTTCAATTTTTATACTCGTATTTCCTTCTATGTAATAGAAAACATATAATGACAATTATTAGATTTTAAAACTATAGCTTAATTGACTCTAGGAAGAGGTGGCATAATTTGGTCTCTACTATATCGGCCACTTCGTCATTGTATATTAAGTCCCTAGTCAGGTGTATTTTCTGGCAATTGCGACAGCACATTTAACTTTATGTCAAACATTTGTCTGTGGAAAACACGCTACAAATCATCCTGAAGATATTTACTAACGCGTTCACTGGAACCGATGACACCATTTTAGACGAAGAGAGAATTGTTTTTATTATTAAATCTATCTGAATCGCAGGGTGTATTTCTCCTGGTCGAATTTTACCCCTATCCGACAATAGACGGAATTAATTATGTTTGATATTGAGGACTATTAAGGATTATTAAGGACTATTAAGGATTATTTCTCCAGGTACTGTACCAAGGCGCTAAAGATTCCCAAAAGAAAGATGTTCCAATATTTGTAAGGTCAAGAGACGCTTTCAGTGTTGAATAATCAACGCCACGTTCCCGAGTCATCTGAATTTGCCATCTTCATCTTGTATGTAATCTCTCTCTCTCTTTCTCTCTCTCTCTCAAGCCAAATAAAAATAACTAGCAAATATATATGTATAATCTATTTATTTTTTCACGAGTACATATTAAATAAACCTATTCTTAAACAATTAGTACAGGATGAACCCCATAAAGTAACAATATACATCACATTCACCAATACTTCTGGTACCAAATTGGTGCATATCTCCCACGCACTTACTCTAAAAAAAACAAAATGGTAAATGTCTCAACGCACTTAAAGCTACAATTAAATTAAGGAAGTTTCTCACGTTACACTATACTTAAACTGTGTGTTGAAAGCAAGATTTTATTACTGTAAAAAGTCGAATCCCCATAAAAAAAAAAAATTGTCACTTTGCTAATCCTCATAACGTAAACAACATTTTTCAAACATTTGCTATGTGTGTCTTTTCATCCATTTATGTTTTGTTCATAACAAAGAGAAATGACATTGTTTTTAAAATTCTCAATAGGTTAATGTTTTTTATCCATACACATAATTGGTCGTAATGAACATGTGACATTTACTTAGTGTTTCTTATTTAAAGTTTGTAATTATATGATAGCTGCAAGAGCTGATCCAACAAGAACCGATCAGTATTAATTGATCAGTATTTCATAACCATCTGAATAACCACATGTACTTTGTTCATTGTTAAGACGTTGTAACATTGATACAGGTTAATTATGTTTCTGTTGTGCAACAGAGTGAAAGGAAAATAAACCCAAATTGTCAAAATTCTACAATATAAGAGCATACTCTCATGCTGTGAAATAAAAAAAAAAAGAATCATAAAATGAAAGAAGCCATTTTTAAAATCCACAAATCCACAACGGTCTTAGTTAAAAGAAAAAGATAATTGAGATTTGTTAAAGAAGATACGATTTTGGGTAGAAAAGAGCAAAAAAGATAGAGGGAGGAACTCAGACTTGTTCTGAAAGATTTTAAACTTTGTTAAATCTTTTAATCAATTTGAAAAGCTGTTGTTAAGAATTTTTGCATGAAAAATATTAAATAACATAGCACACATACAGACGCTCGCGAGCACACACACACATATTAATACATACGCACACAGGGAAGAGCCTTGTTATGTCCAAAACGCGATAAAAAAACTAAATTTGCCACCTGTGTAAACTGTCTCAAGCAAATTAAAAACATGAAAGCAGCCCCCCGAAACACGTTGAAAAGTCCCTCGCCTCTTCCTCCCGTTTATCGTCGGAGGGCTTTTTGACAAGAATCGTTTCTTTCTTTGAGTAGAAACTAAAGTTATGTTCGTTTACGCTAGGAAGGGTTGATCCTTTCGTCTGCACTATATCTCTCGTTTGTGCCGAGTTACACCCTTCCTCACATCAAAGATGGCCGATCGCGCGCAACAAAGCAGACGATCGCTATTCAGTGAGTATGCATGTTACAGGGCCGCTACTTTTAAGTGGCATTGCCTCAGAACTCGAGTTTCGAATCTGTGTTTCTCGTTGTTCCCTCACAGGGCCCAAGCCATACTAGATTGGCCCCTCGGGTGTATATATCATATTTGAGGGAAAAGCGCGTGCGCTTTTGTCAGCCAGATGTGGAAAGTTGTTTACAAAAACTGGTCAATTGCTACTGTTTTAGGATTTTTTTTCGAAAAAACTCGGTGGTACACAGCTGCGATATCCAAACTCAACCAGCACTTGGATGTTTGCAAAATAGCGGAACGAAAGGGAGATAGATTTATCTATCTTTTTTTAAATTTAATATGCATATGTTCTGAATGTATCGAATTTCATACATTTCCTTTACGGCATTAGTAAAATAATCTAAATAGACATCTCATCTCATGTGTGCAAATACATACAAAAAAGTTCAAAAATAAATCAAATTATTTTATCTTGATCTCAAAAGTAACGTTTCACTCATTCAATTTTTAAAACATAGCCGAAATATAATCAATTTTTAAAACTTTCTTTGCATATGCTAAGCAGTTAGCTAGTTTGGATAACCGTTAAAAACAATGCTGTCTTCGTTTTATTTTAAGAAATCTTAACATGTGGCGCATTTCAACGGCGTATTGTTTTCAAACCACTTTGGTCGTATTTTATGTTGTTAGAGTACGGCACACGTGTGACATCTCATTTTCCGTAACTGCCGTAGATACCCGTCCCATTTGACAAGGTTTTCCTTGGGCGTGCAGCTTGTGAATGGAGAGCGCACGCGACGGCGTTGGTATCTTTTTAGAGTTCTATAGTTCCACATTTGTTTAAAGATATAGATTGTGCGTTCTGTTGCTATGATGCTTTTGGCATTGCTAGGATATTTTAAACAACAATTAGAAAATGTTAATAAACAACGGAGATACAAAAAGTCACACCCAGCGAGAAACCACGTGGGGGATCAGCAGTCGTCTGCTTCGATGTCAACTCCGCAGAAAATATTTGTGCTTGTGGCCAATGGTAACTTGTTGAAGCTCGTAACTTTGATTTCCCCTATCTCCTAGATCAGATCCATTGTATCTGAAACCATAAACCGATAGAAATTTTAAGAAGAAGGAGGGAAAAAATTGAGTCGTACTTTCTGTAGACCAAGCATTTGTATCGCTTCAAAGTGAATTTGTGAATATTTCATATCTTGGCACCAATAAAAAGATGCTTTGGATACTTAATGAGGAAGCTGTGTATTTTTCAAAAGCTGGTAAAAATCCACAAATTTTTTTTTTTTTTTTTTTTGAAACACCATTCTTGGTTTTTAAATATTCTTTTTTTCTTTTAGCCATGCAATGTTAAAACGTAATCATTCCTAAGGTTATCCTGCGCTTAACAAAAGAAAAAAAAAACAATTCGATTTTCAAAAACAGAGAAAAAACTCGAAGTTCGAGCAACCTTATCTTCAGACATATTACAAGTGACAAGTATAGGCTACATGTTGACCCACATACGCAAAAAATATTTCCTAATTTTTAAAATCCTCACCACTCACTATAACTGAGTCCTGTCCGTCCAGTAGGAATATGATAGAGTGTGGTCGGGGGCCTGCTGTCTTCCGGGGAACGTAAGGGGTGGGGCTGGACCAGAAGGGTATTCCGCATACTGCCCCCCGTACATGGTGTTCGAATACTGTGACGGATGGTGTTGACTAGGGTAACCGGACAGAGGTGTCGTCATCCTGGAATAAGGTGGGCTGAAAATATGAGAAAATTTAAATCAAGTGTGTATAGATTGTCAAAAAAGTATATTGCAAGATCTGCATTTTATACAGTTGTGGTCATTTAGCATTTGTCGGTGGAAAGAAGTTTTTACTGAAGATTAAAAGTGTAAAAGTCGACTCATTCACATCAACAGCTTATATAACTTATAAGGTACCAGATAAAGTAAAAATGGTATTGAATACAGGGGTAATTTTTTTCCTGAACCTAGAAGTTGTCATGACAAAACGCTGAGTTTTCCGATGTCGAGAATATCTCTGAAAGTAGACTGATTTTTTGTTAACAGCTGGTTGGAGATAACTCCATGTCTACTCCCACACCCCTCGCGGACAGGCAAGCACGTGCACGTGCGTGCGCGCACACATTCGCACAGAGAGAGAGAGGTGGAGATGAGAGAGGGGGCAATAGGTAGGAACATATCTGTGTATGCATGTTTAAGCTGCAAAAACCAAAACAATGAACTTACCCCCCCCCCCCGACTCTCTAGCAACAACGGAAAGACGCAAAAAATTAATACATGTGAAAAGTTTCTGCATTTAACTCCTATACATCAGCTTACACGTTATCAATCAACAGTCCACGAAAGTAAAAAGCGTGTGAGAAGAATGGATAAGCAGTGAAACATACGACACACATTCAATAAAAAGCACGTTTTATCCTTAGCAGCAGGCTGCGTGGCAGTCAACCTGAACTGAGATGCGGTTTTCTGGGATTTCGTCCACACAAAGAAGTTCGGCAGGTTACACGTATGGGTCCGATCCCTACTGATGAATTCTCCATATATATATATATATATATATATATATATATATATATATATATATATATATAGTGAATGGACGAGAACAACGGAAAATGAATCCTTGCAGGGGCTACAGATCAAAACAAAAGTTTTCTTGGGGCTGAAAAATTCATTTCCACTTTTAGATGCTCTGAAAAATCTCTGAACTTTGCAAATGAAAATGAAAACCCAAAATTTGAAACATTTTAAAAAGATTTAGTATGACACAGTAAGCATCTTCTACTGCTTTTTTTCTCTTTATAAAATCCCATGAAACTGACGAATCCTCTGGTGTATAGTCTCCTTTGGACTAAACTGAAATTATAATAAATTATAACTATTTTCTCTTTCCTGACAGGCGACTGACTTTTGTTCCAAAAGAGAAAGAAATTCGGAGCCAGTCTGATAGGGCCACGTGCCTCACTTTCTGTCGTGAACTTACGGAATCTCTATGTTATGTAATTACATTACGTCCAATTTATACATGTATTTTCCAATGTACACGTGTGCTACATTATCTTTCGCTTGTGTTAAACTTAAAACTTGTTTACCTCAACCATCTTTGCAATTTATTTCTATTGCCTAATCGGTGTTATTTTTCAATTTACTTACACATGTACACATGTCTATGTTGCAACAACTTATTTTAGTTTTTTTTAGATAATAAATATCGTAAAATACGGCCTACCAGTTTGCTTATCATCTCGAGCAAATGCACACTGTTTGGTCGGGAAGTCATACATCAAGAAAATGTACATTTTGCTCGACGTGATATGAGTTGTTTCTAAAATCGTGGTTAGACAAAACAAATAACGATTATAGCCATTTCACAATGGAAACAGTGGACATGCTAATAGTTCAAACAACAAAAAAAAAACTAAGTTGCGATTCGTAATCAGCCTACTCCCCGTCCACTAGATTGTATACGGCTAAAGAAGAATGTTCTTTTCCCAATCAGATTTCAAAATTTAACCAATATTTTATTGGTATTCAAAATTGGACCTTTATAGTCTGCATATGAAATAATATCGGTGGTAATAATTTAATCTGCGTAATATTATAAATGACATTACAAACTACTCAAATATTGCATTCTATGTTGCCTGTTTAGTCGAAGCTTTCCAAACTAAGATATCAATTTTTTATTGTACAGTTTTTGCCTAGATAAAAAATTAAATGAATGATGACTTTTAGATAGAGAGGAGGGTATAAAAATTTCATTTGCTGACGTTTGTATATAAGGTTAACTTTCGTAAATCGTAAGGTGTCTGTACAAAATCTACGGGCAAGTGTTTCAAACCAACTGAATTCTACCCACTAATACCTTCTATTTTTTAATTGGAATTTGGTGGATAATTTTTTGGGGCAAGTATCATATGCGGTAAACCTTACTGGAAGACAATTTATCGCAAATTAATAGGGGACGGGGAAGGGGGGGCAATGTAATTAGGAACTGACAGATAATTCGACAAAACCAACTCAATCTTCACTGCATTGTTAGCAGTCGTCTCTGGCTGGTTTTACTGCGATATCCAAACGAGTTAAGTACGTACCAAGACTCGGGGCTCATTTGCCCAATGAAACTATCATTCCTCATAGATCGTTCCAAGTCTGCGGGAACTCTCGCTGAATACAACCAGATATACAGATTAATACGACCTGAGGTGGTTCGAAGTAACATTTTCATGAGAACATAAAAATGCATAATCCAAAGATAAAAATCAGCTATAATTAATGAAACACTTTCCTCAGAACTTAAAATCGCATAGGCTTTTCCACAGATAGAAATCAGTTATAATTAATAATTCAGAGCAAAGAATATGAAGATTTTCTCCGCGTTAAATAACAACACAGCACTGCTCCCATTGACGAAGTTACGAGGAGAGAAAAATAAACTTTTTCTTCTTTGTACATTACCTGCGCTGGACAATATAGAAATATGCACAAAATAGTCAGAGAAATATCTGTGGATATTTAGTGAAAAATTCTCCCTCAGTGTGACCCTGATAGTGGATATAAGTCCCCCTATGAAAAATACCACAGATAACATACAAGTGAAGTTGCCATCTTCTTAAATTTTGAAATAGGCTAGGCATTCTTCGTCTTCGCTTTTTTTTTCAAATTTGCTACCCCTCCCCCTCCCCCCAAAAAAAATCGTATTTTAAACCAAATGCTAGCAACCTTGATATCAAAAAGCTCTAAAACACTATGTCTAATAAATAAAAAAGATAAGCGAAGTGAAGCATCTACAAGGGCGTGTCCTAATATAAGGCAATGCCTCAATTAATCAGATTTATCGAAAGCCAGTTGTTCACGCACAGCTTACCACACGATCTGGGAGACTTCTTGAAATACTTCCGTGTTTGGTTTTTTTTTTTTTTTTTTTCAAAAAAAAAAAAAAAAACGTACGAATGAGTAATGGTTTGCATATATGTACTTTGTATAAGCGACTCAAATTGACTCATTTTGATTAATTTCCCTACCTATTTCAGGAACTTACAGAGAATGATTGAAAAACTCTCCTAGAATGAGAATAACAAATTAATAAGTAGAAATAACTACTTATCATTTGAGAACAGCCATGTTTTTTTTTTTTTTTTTTTTTTTTTTTTTTGAAACTTAGGAAACAGAACACTACACCACACAGGCAATTGCACTTCATGGAAATAATTTCGAGGAATTTCGAATCACATAACTGGGGCTACACAACCTGCGGTGGGTCGAAATCACATTTTCCTCAGAACATAATAAGCGCATAATCCAAAGATAGAAATCGCCTAATAAAACAGAGTAAAGAATGTGATGATTCTCTCCGTATCAAATGACAACACAGCACTGGCCCCGTTGACGAAGTTACGCGGAGAGAAAAATAAACTGTGTATCGTAGACCCAGGCCCGGATCAGCTCTTCTTTGTGCCCCTTATCCTCGTCGAACAGTATACCAATATGCACAAAATAGTCAGAGAAATATCGGTGTAAATTTGGTGAAAATTTTCCCTAAGACCGTCGTAGTGAATAGAAAACCCCCTTTGAAAAACACCTCTGTCAAACAAGATACAAGTGAAGTTGCCACCATTATAAATTTTGATATAAGCTAGACCTTCGTCGTGTTCTTTGCTTTTTTTTTTCAAAATTGCAACTCAGTAGTCAGAGAAGAATTTCACCAGCTGTGTTATGTTATAAGAATACGAATAGAGTAATTTTTCTTAAATAAACAGCTAAATCTTGAAATTGTTTACCTTCAATATTTCCTCATTCTCTGATGAGGATGTTCTAGACAGAATTATTGGAGGTAAACAATTTCAATATTTACCTGTTGATTGAAGAAAAAAATTACTCTATTTTTTTTCAAGCCAGTAGATTTTGATATTTTAAACCAAATGCTTGCAGCCTTGAAATCAAGAAGCTGGAAGACTCCCCATGACTTATAATAATAATAATACAACTAGACGAACAAATAAGCTAAGAGGCTGTGTATTTACAAGGATACAGTTCTCATACGAGCCCATGTCACAGTTTCTGGGCTTTGTTGTGCCTCTCTTCTGTGTGACCTTGGCTATATATCCCTCGGACTATTTGTCTGTGCCGTGAAATCATGCTTGATTCCATTTTAATCATAATTGTTAGCAAAAATGTAATAATAATAATAATAATGATAATAATAATAATAAAAGTAATCATACTTTCAGTATGAGATAAAACCGATAGATTCACATAATAGTTGGCAATAAGGTCCTGATATTTTAACTTAAGAAAAGGGCCTCGCTGGTGTTGTTAGTTCAATTACAATTAATTTGGTATAATCGTATTTTAAATTAATTTTTCTTTGAACATGTCATACATTGTTATATAATGATCCCTTTAAAAGCATTTAACTGACAACCAGAACAAAAAGAAAGAACAAAAAAGACCACCTTTTACAAAAAACACCGCCTCACTTATTACTCATTAAAAATTAAGAAAAATTAAGTTTGTGCTTTTTATCAGAATCGTGTCGCATTCAGCACAAATCAAAATTTATAATCAGTTTTTTGCACTCATTTTGTTTCTAGATTTAATATTGCACTTTTTCATTATTTTTATATCACTTTATGATAAACAGTATCACTAGATGCCTTTGAGACAAACGTTGCAACAAACTTCTCACTACAAAATATCGGGAGAAATTCATCGGTGGATTACAGAACGCTGGAGCACACCTGAGTACGCCATAGTATGAACAAATGAGAAAATACAATACACTGGGCATATGGTTGTGAAATCAGGAAAAATAAAAGTGGGCGAGTACGCCCGAGCATGGCCGAGTACGTCCGTGTACGCCCGGTCTGAATGTGTGAGGAAGTGGGGAATATGGCTGTCAAATCAGGAGAAAATTGTCTGTAAAGAGTGCAGGAATATCAGGGCATGCTTAGATGTATACTTATGAGAAAATGAAGTTATGTCTATGATATTATAGTTTTATCAAATTAAACAAACGACAGGCTAACTCAGACAGGAACTTTTCACGTCAAAACCGTACTTGATAATTCGAAGGTATTTTGGATCGATTGAATGAAAGCAAAAACTTTAATTGTGTTGCGGTGTTACCATTCATTATATTCATTACATAGGCTGTACCGTAAGAGCATGGCCTATTTAGGTATAAACTTAATTGTCTTGTAATGGCACAAATTATAAATAAATAAATAAATAAATAAATAAATAAATAAATAGACATTATAATGTGCCCAATATTTTCGTCTACTTATCCACCTATTTAGTTTAGTATCACCAAAGAAATAATAACAGAAACGTATCCATGATTCTTTTTACTCTTGATAATCAATAAGTTTTATCATTTTGAACAGTTTTGAAAATACACACACTGGACAATAGAAGTGTCCCCCCTGAATCAGAGTAATCAAAGTTAGAATGCCTGGTCTACTTATAATATTACTAATGAGTGTAAAACCGCTGTACCATGGAATTGCATTGTTGGTCTTTTTGTGAAATTTGATGTTAATAAAATAATACTAGGAGCATATCATTCCACAGTCATTTATCTCCCCCAAAGTATTGGTTCAGTAGGGATGACACTTCTATTGTCCAGTGTGTGTAGAAGAGAACAGGCTGCCAAAGAATACTGCGTTACCGGTGTACTTATACATAATTTGGTTTTCATCCAAAGCGTTTTCGGTCCAGTGTCTATATTCGAGAGGTTAACGTATTTAACAGTCGGTGTTCTTAAGTGCACATTAGTACATATCGGCATATTTGTGTCTGTGCATGTGTTTCGACGCCCTGAGATCTACTCTACCATCGTTATAGCATTTCTAAACAAACTGGTTCACTTTAGGAGATAATGGAGGAGAGAGAGAGAGGGAGGGAAAGGGGTTATAGAATAATACAAATTAGAAATACACAAAGAGTATATCTGACTAGTTATTAATATTTTCGTTGTCTACAAAAGCTAAATAATCACTGCTAAGCATAAAAACATTAAGTTTGAAGATTGATTCAAAATCAAAGAAGACACAACTAAACAAAGAGAGAGGCACGGCATGTAAAAAAGGTAACATATCTGTACATGATTTAAGTGTGCCCTCTACCAGGGCCACAGATTAATTATGGGCACTTTTCTCCAGCTCCCAGAGAATCGTGTCATGAATTAGCCGGAGACATATCTGTGAATATCTAGTGAAAAAAATCAATCTGTGGACCTGGTAGAGGGTATTTTAACTGTATATAACCAATAAAGCTTACCCGTAGTTAAACTGCGACGGGTTGGCCGGTGCTGGGGCGGGCGGATTGAGAGCCCAATTACACGTCGAATACGGCGACGAGAAGCAGTTCTTCCCCGCCAGAGGGGAGAGGTGGTTGAAGGCGGCGTAAGGGGAGTCGGTGAACAAAGGTTTCGGGAGGGACACTGGCGAGCGGTAGGGACGCTTCATTCGCCTTCTTCGGCGATAGTTACCCGCTTCGAACATGTCCTCAAACGCGGGGTCGAGAGCCCAGTAATTTCCTTTCCTTTCGCCGCCCCCTTCCCGGGGGATCTTTAAGAAGCATTCGTTGAGACTTAAATTGTGCCGTATGCTGTTCTGCCAACCTTTTTGCTTCTTTGTGCTTAAGTTCTGGTAGTATGGAAACTTGTTGACGATGTACTGGTAGATTCCGTTTAGTGTCAGTTTCTTTTCTCCTGATTCTTTGATGGCCATGGTGATTAAAGCTACGTAAGAATAAGGAGGTTTCTGATTAGGATCTAGTTTTTCTTCGCTTTTGTTACTCCCCCCGTTATTATTGTTATTATTATTATTGGTATTGTTCATCTTGCTGGCGACTTTAAAGTCAGTTTTCTTTTCAGATCTCTTTTCGTCAGCGACGATGTCCCCATGGCGGCCGCTGTGATTATCGTCTATTTTAGACATGCTCCGAAATGGCGCAGTTGACGTAAAGCCAGCGTTGCCGACGTTTGGGGGCCTCGTCGGGTCAACGTTGCCGTCTACGGCGCGAGATAAGTGCCACGTGTGAAGGGCTGGCTCCGTTTTAACTTGATGATCCAACATATTCGGTGTATGGTTTTCCCCTGCGCACTCTTCCTGGTAAAGAGTCACCTTCTCTACTACAGATGGCGGCGTCGACCTAAATATGTCCTGAGCAAACGTGAAGGTATCTTTGAAAGGAAATCTGTCCATCTCTAACTACGAAATTGTGAAATAAGTGCTAAGCCTGTCCACTCTCCGTCCGGACTGTGAATGTCGTTGATGGAAACTGTAAATCTAAGAAGTATTATTTCTCGTCGGCGTAATTTAATTGTTCCTAAAAGGTTCGCCTCTTCATGTAGAAAAACAACTTACGTAAATCGTAAGGTGTTGATACAAAATCTACGTTCAAGTGTTTCCAACCTACCGAAATCTTCCCACTTATACGTTTAATTGCTGATGTCCCCCTGTCAACTGTCTCGTCTCCTGAACGAGAGATCGCGTTACGCACGCGCGTGTCGTTTCCATGCCAACGCCGTCCCGTCACCCAGAAGTCAATGCTTTCTCAGCACACTATGTTTCCCGATCAAGCGTTACAACGGTCCTCCCCGATTTTCACTCCACTAATCTCAAAGCCTTGCCACCTAAGTAGAGTTGCCCCTAATCGTTGAAATTATTCGCTTGATTGTAAATGAAACTTGCATGTAATTTTTGGACGAGAACGGTTCAGGAGAAGTGTCAGGAAGCAGATTGGTTATTATCTGAGCAGACGATTTGAAGTGCATCTCGAAGTGGATGCAGGGCGAATTAATTTGAAAAAAAAATTAGTGCGAACAAAAAATAAACGAATAAAATTTAAATTGGGGAAAATGAAAGAAAAGTGATAGATTTAATAATTTGGCTTTTCTTATCTTGCACACTAATAAAGAAAAAACTGATCAGATTTTTTCACTCTTACACCCCCGCAGAAGAAAAATGGCATCGCCTTGAAGCAGACGAACAGACCTTGCTGTTGTAAATGGAAGTTACAGATGCGCTGAGTGGCGAAGAAAATGAAACACTACGGCCCCGGTGGCTTGCGGTGTAGGAGCAGTAATCTTCCTCTTGGATTAAAAGTAGTTTGTTTTACAAGTTATTCTCATATTCCGCGGCCCACCCACAAGCGGGGTTACAATTTCACTCCCGACACCACTTCTTACATTTACTGCGAATTTCAAGCGATGAGTGAAACGCCTGAGACTCGCGCTACTAATGCTTTAAGTGTGCGATTTTGTTTCGTGTCGTAAGGGCAAATATGCGTGCAGAAATCTACGATTTAAAGTACCGCTCACTCCAATAATACAAAGTCCTCTGATCTTGCCTCTAAAAAAATGGAAAGGAAAAAAGAGAGAGGATGAAAGACGCGAAGAGGGGATGGGAGACTTTCTTCGAGCTTGTAAACTTTTCGGAGAATGAATAAAATCTCTTGTAATTTGTCTTAACCTGGCATTGTTAATTATATAAAACATTCGAAAGCTTCACCCTCATATATTATTTTTGTAGCCTACTGATAAGAACTTATCGGCTTAACCTACAGAAAAAAATGTTATTATTTCTAATTGATACTTGCCATTGTGTTATATTGGGTATTTATGTTATTTGTCAAGTAAGAATACAAATATAATAGGTATTGGGCTCAACTTATTAGTTACAAATAATGAGTATAGACGATTGTTTCTTCCCTTACATTTTTGTGAATGAATTCAGATTCTTACTATGTATATAATATGACTGCAGTAACGCGCTATCCTTTTCTCTACAGTTTACATGCAGCAAACAGATTTAGAAAGACCCCAGTTCTGTTTTCGCTATAAGACCACTATACACCCGTGTAAAGCAACATTCATTTCCCAAAAATATATTATGAAATTATTCCATAGAAAAGCAGATTTGCGCATTAAACTCTTTTAGTATAAATCAGTGGAAGTGGGCAGAAGGTATGCGTGTGTGTGTGCGCGCGCGCATGTGTGTGTTGTGGAGGGTGGGGAGATAAAGTGAGACATTTTGATACCAGAAATTAACCCCTAGAATGCAAATGTAAAGCAAGTGTCCATCGCTCTTTGGCAGCCCAATATACCATGGTTATAAAACACGATCCATAATGTTTCCCAAGCGTCTAACCCGTGTTTGTAAATTCTCTTAAGGACTTATATGCGATGTTTTAACAACAGGTTGACTGATGTAACCAAGAAAAGGTTGTTAAACTAAACGGATTGAACTTGAAACATGTAGGAGTCAAAAAATATGGTTAACGATGTCATTGCTCTCTTGCTACATCCAGGTTTATTTGATTTTGATTATAAGAAATTCTCTTCGGCATGGACCTGATATCTACTTAAACATTTAACCCGAAAGAGTCCTGCGAAAAGTGTGCTTATGTTTTTTTCTTCAAAGGCCTGTCATAAACGCACGTTATTTTTTTAAAAAATATTATCGTTCATTGTCTTTTTTTTTTAATTTTTTATTCAGTTCTTAAAACTGCAGTTCGTTCACCCCACCTTTCACTTAAAGCATGCTTTCCTTTCTGTTCCGTGTTCATTAGCACTTGCGAGTATTTATAAATTTCGACTAATATCATATATACTGAATTTCTGTAGCACAATTATTCAATCATCCCCAAGTGAAATGGTAGCGTGCTGTATTTGATGGTTTATTTATTTAATCCTATGTGATTATGTAAATACATGATGTACTTCAACCTCACGTTCGCATCGTCTCCGCTTTGCTTTTCTACCGGTTACAGATGCCAATGATAGCAGGAAAAGACTCGGACAACTCAACTTCGTGGACTTCTACTAATGTTTATTTGTTTATTTTTTATACAATTATCCAGTCAAATAATATTTGTCAAATTGAGATTGACACGTGCCAATTTTCTACGTACGTCGTGCATATTGATACTGAAAAAAGGGAAGAGGGGGATTTAGGGTCCAGACTTCAATTACAATCTCTAAAAAATTAGAATAGAGCGGGATGGATTTTGGCGGCTAGAGTAAACCAGGGCAAATGTCAGATATGGTTTTTAGTGTAGATTTGCCAAAATTCACCTTTAAATTTTGTTTGTAACCTTGTTTAAAGCTATTACTTCCTATGCATCATACATCTGAATATTAACCAGAACTTGACACACACACACACACACACACACACGCACACACACACATCGACACGCACACGCACACATGTACACTCACACACACACACACGCACACACACACACACACACACACACATGTACACTCACACGCACACAGGGTGAAACCATGGATAAAAATTGATCTCAAACGTACGTATATTTTAGTAGCTTCGTTGCAAGATCTTTATTGGAAAAGCGGTTTCTGGCAGTTCTTTTTTTTTTTCGTTTCCCGTACGTTAATAACACTAGAATTAAACTTTGATATGAAAAATGTTATATCACAGTATGTCAACAAGCTAGAAATTGCCCTAGCGGAACTAGTGCTTTTATTTGATCTCCGTTCTTGTTTAACCTTAGCTCGTTAGTATTAAAGTGAGTCTTTTGATAACATTTTCTGCTGCTGTGGATTGTAAAAAAAGAAACTGGCGCATTTCGGTGCACTCATGCCATGACGTGTTATGATCACATCGTGCGAAAATGATAACATTTCTATTTTTCATGTTGCTGTTCCAGGCGAAAACATGTTTATAGATAATATAGCGACTGTTGTATAAACCCCGGTCGTGAGTACAAGTGTCTCCGGGATGATTGACAGGTCAAGGAGCGGGTATATGCTGCACGTGAGGCGTCGCTAGGCAGTGAAGTAATAGACAAGGAAATGGACAACATAGTAACAATGTGACAATTTTTGCCTGTGTCATCAATAATTTTTTCTACGCACCTATGAAACGAGATGATTGCGTATATTTTTTCAAATTGAATCCTTATCACAACTATCATATAGATGATGAAACTTCTGGCCAAAATCTGTTATTCGTTTTTCTTTTCGTTGAAGTTACAATTTGGGGTATACCTTCACGTAAATCCTTTAACAAGTCACGTTGCCTATTAGTTAAGGAGGAACGGTGCAAAGATTCTGTTATTGGGCTTAAGACGAAAGTCACATGTATCTCACATGACAATGAGATCGCCCAGATTACTGAAAAATTACATTAAATCTTTTAAAATAATGAAATTATACAAAAAATTGTGTGAACTCCAAATTTCTTCTCGTTAAGAATGAAATAGTAAATTTTTTAAAAAAATCTAATTTCAATAAAAATAGTTAAAAAGTACCATTCCGAATGTTATACTATAAGGTGCAGTGACATATCCATATAATCTAAATCAAGTAAAAAATATCGACTATGCATTTTAGTTAAGTTCTCTTTCAGATCTTTATGTGTTTAAGTTACGTTTAAAAATAGAAACATTTTCGTGTCCGCGTTTTCGGTCCCGTGTGATAACATAATCCCAGTGCGTCGTTGAGAGTCGTTATCTGATCTAAATATAGGTAACAGGAACCGATCGAACCGCGTCTCGATGATTGACAGGACGTCACGGTGACACGGGTCACGTGATTGCCACCCACACACACACCCGTGGGTGGTGTTTTTTTTTTCAATCGTCTGAGAAAATCTTTCTTTGATATCCTTATCCAAAGAATTCATTTGATTTGGCAAAGAGAATGATTTTTGATAGTTTTGACTTTGTTTTTCTTTTCAAAAAATAAAATAAGATGGGATGTAGTCAACCAGACAGACGTGGTTATGGCCTTCACATATTGTCTAATATCCTAGGTAAAATCAAATAACTCTCTCTCTCTCTCTCTCTCTCTCTCGTGTTTGTGAGAAGAACATATTCTCTGAATTCTCAAGAAGCACTTTAATTGTTAATCTACCGATTCACCTGTATCAGAAGCCCGATGTTGGATACCTATTTCGCGAAAGCTCCAAAAATGGCCAGTAAGATTTGTCCAAATCATCAGTGATTTCGCGATCATAATAGTATTTACAAACAAGCCTCTCCGCATCGGCTGGGTTTGGAAATATTGAGACGTTTTGTAAACATCTCTCGTTAATTTACTAATTATCAGAAACTTAAGATGCTACTTTGCGATACTTAGCGAGTGCTTTCCTAAACAAACAATGCAGCGCATTAAAATAGCAAACGCGTACCGTCCATTTACTAGGGAACCGTATCCCCCGTATAAGAACGCACAGAACTGCAGTGTGATCGCTAGCCCTGACCACCATGTCTGTTCATACCGCGCTTTTTTCATTCCGATCTGATTTAAATTGCTTTTATCTTAACATGTCTGAACCGCATTGCTTTAAAAATACGTATAGGACTTGTATATCTGTATCTATCTAATATGTTGCAGGTTCCAATTCATTCTGGAATTACGATCTTATAAGATATATATGTACTTTTAACAAATCTCAGTCTAAAGTGACTGTTCGAGTTTTTTATTTTTTATTTTATTTTATTTATCTATTATTTATTTATTTATTTATTTATTTATTTATTTATTTTTTGCAAAATTATTAATAAACACCACTGTGAATCAGGATTATTTCCCGTGAATTATTTTGCTCATCTGATGACGTATTTTCCGAAAGGACAGAAACATGAAAAAAAGGGAGACAAAATTCAATCCATTCTCTCTAATCTAACAACACGCTGTAGACCTAGTAGTCTTATTGTAAACAACACACCCCCCTCTCCCCCCTTAGAACATTCGGAACGTGAACGCACCGATTTTTTTTTTTTTTTCGTGAGCGCTTACGACTGGATCTAATTAAATCTGATGTGAACTGAGCCGTTGCCAGCTGTGCGCGTGTGTGTGTGGTAGGGGATGGGGAGTAAAGTGATGCCTGCTTTAAACGCCGCGGCTGGTCCTGGACTTACTTTACCTGAAGCGGGCGTCTCAGTGCTGGAAGATTGCCATGGGGATATAAAAAAGGAGAATTCGGTCACTCAAGTCCTAGATCTAAGGGTAATGCAAAAATGATGGCCTTTTGTTAAAAAAAATACAATTTGGAATTCGGCTCAATTCGTTAAATCCTGGAAAATCAATATTTACTGTACAAATAAGAATAAATATGTACGTACATGTATAATACATGAATAACACAAAGGGTAAATACTTCTACATTTACATAAAAAGCGGAGAGCTAAATTCAATCTTTTTCTTTACTTATCTTTGCTCAAAGCTCAGAGATAAGCTCCCAACAAACTAAACTGAAGTAGAACACAATAAAACAACACACTCATCAACAACAACATTTAAAACTGTCATCGACATTGGCCTAGTCAAAAAAAAAAAATTGGCTGCGTTCTGTTCGGTTTAGACAGTAGATTTAATTACTGTTGACTCCAGAAAACCTTTAAGGCTTAATATGTGCTTTGTTCAAGGAGTAAAAAATAAATGAAAATTAATCCCTGAAGAAGCCACATAAGCCAAAAGATCGGGAGCTTTATACCAATTAAAGTTGATCTTAACAGACGCGTTTTCAACCTCATTATTCGAAAACAAGTTCAACGCAAAAATTATGATGAATCTTCACGGAGTTGCAATCAATCGTCTACTTCCGGCTATATAAAAAAATAAACGAACTTGTGAATTTTTCAATAATAATAATAATAACAATAACACAATTAACACGATATAATAATTCAAGTATATTTGACTCAATAAGCCATTTATTCCAATAATACACCCCAATATTATCATATTATCATTATATTATCATCATCCAGTCACCACTGTACAATATTGGCAGATGTTGGGCTGAAATGTCCCTTCCATTTCGTCAGAGACAATAAATACATATTCATTCTACTATTTCATTAGAATAAATTTCTCCTCTTTCTAACAGGGTGAACATAATTCATCAAAGATGGTATGTCCATGAAGTAACGTTTTCCGGAGAATAGAGGACCTCAATTTTGTGATGCCATTCAACAGTAACAAGCATTTTCCCGTCCTTGTTGGGCACACTGATACATTTACAGAAGCAAACTGCTTGCCACGAGTATTCACACGAAAGCAGGTGAAGAGTTTTTCTAGGAAGCTATCCTCAAAGATTTTTTTTCATTTAGGTGATAATTAAATTCATGTTTCTTGAGAATTTCGAGCAGCGCAAGCACATACACACCTTGCATCAAGAAGAGGTCATCCAAAGGTGCAATGTCAAGGTCATTGGGTCCAATGTCAAGGTCACTGGATGATATTTCAGGGTCACATTTTATTAATGATACCAGGACAATTTTGTGATAACATCGCCAGAATATCATGGAATAGAAAAAGTGTTGCATCTACAAATACGTAACAAACAGCATATTCCCACAGCCTTCTTTTCTTCTGATTTTTTCCAGATTTTTGTTTTTCCAGGTATCAGAAAATCTTGCCTTAGTTTATTTGTCTCTGATAAAGTTTGAATCTTCTGCCATTTTTGTCTTTCTGTCATGTCCTTGATTCCCTCCTCATCTTCTTTCACCAGTTACAATATGTACAATTACTCTGCCAGATTTCTCTCAATCTTCTAACAAGTCTTCATCTAATACTACATCCTGCAAGAGGAAAAACATTTTTATCACATTACACAAAAATAATAATTCACTTACACTTGCTTTTTGTGCATGAATGCCATTTTAGTCAACTTGACCCAAGATAAATCAGAGCTGATCATCATCAAATAAAGGTTCACATATAATAAATAAATAAATAAATAAATAAATAAATAAATAAATAAATAAATAAATAATGGCTGAAGTTTCAACAGTCACTTTTTGGGAGTCTACAACTAATCTGGTCTAGATTTAAGTTGAACAAAAATGTCAAAGTTTAAATTTAAAACCTACACAAATATTCAATACAAGTGCATTATAACCAAAACTATGAATTCTGGCTAATAAATTAATATAAGTGAAATATTTCCATTTTTTCAATACTACTTCCAGTCAGATCTTTGAAAAGAAAAATAGAAATTCCAACATGCCTATCACATACACAGCTGTGCTCATTCTGATAGAAAATGGCACACAAATGGGGGAAATCACTTGTTGATAAAACAATGAGAAGACGTTATGACAACTTCAAATATGAAGCATAAACCTTTGCCTTGATGACATTAAAATGAAGACGTAGATGCATATCTTAGTTTCAAGTGAAATGTTGGAATGCAAAAAAAATAATGGGAATATACTTTTATTGGAATTCTACTACACTTCGTCTTGACTAAGTTTAAATGTCTTGTTTTAAAATGTATTTTTACATAAATGGAAATAAAATTCCAAAAAGATCAAATAAACCTAAAGACTTGCTTTAATTTACTGTCAAACCATTTACTTTCTAAATGAAATAAAATGATCACCTTACCGAAGTATCAATGTTTTCATCCAAATTTAGATTCTCTAAGTCTAATTCCAGTTCATCTTCAATTTCTTGTGTTTTTTGTTCACTAGAGGGAGCCACAGGAGGAGCAGCAGAGGGCGCTGGTTTGGGAGGACTTGGGGCACGTTCTTGACCTAATCCACTCTCTACCATGTCCCGGAGACTTTGCTGGGCTTCTGATGCTGGCTGGGAGTCTTGGAAATCGTCATCATCCTCATCATCATCATCTGCGCCCTCTGTTCTTGGGGGTACGTAAGTGAATTTTCCAGCCTCTTCAGCAGCTTGCATCTCTTCCAATGCATTTCGCTCATGGTTTGGCTGGAAAGAAAATAATGTCATTAATTTATATTTCAAATACTTGTTCATTAATGTCACAAAAGCTTAGACACACACAAACATCCACACTAACTTTGGAAGTTCCAAATTTCTGTCAGCACACCCACACTCGCACAAAATTTGACATGTTC